TCTAGAATATCAGATAGCATTAAGCCCGATGTTAAAAAGAAAAACGAGACAATTATAGACAATTATAGCTGTATAGGAACATAAGAAAAGCTTATGTGTGAATGGTCATTGAAATAATGGTAAATCATTGATAACACTATAAGTTGGGAATTATATATCGAAAGACTATTACATATATGTAGCAGGTTTTCCTAATAAATTTATCGGTAAAATGTGTATATATTCCTCACTGCTTAACATGAAAAGAGAAAATTAATGAATAAGATATTGTTCAAATACAATTAAAGCTGTAAAATTTTGTGCTTAAATCAATACATTTCAGTTTTATTTTATTTTTTTTTTTTTTTGGTGTTGTTTTGTTTTTGGTTTGGTTTTTTTTTTTGGGGGGGGGATACATTCTTTTGTATCAAATACTCGGCCTATCCATAGGGCGTTAAAAGCTTATTTTTACATAGATACTTGCGTCTTGGTTTATATATATGTATGAACCTTATTGATATGTGAAAAAAAGGTAAAGTACATTTTTTACATATCAATAAGACACATACATATTTATAAACCAAGACACACGTACCTGTGAATTTTAACCCCCCCCCCCCCCCCACAAAAAAAAAATCAATTTATCAGTAAATTGTGCATATTCGATTCGTTGCTTTTAATTTATCCTTGACGGAAATGAAATAAGAACATACAATATATCCATAACATAGTATAACAGGTTTCGCAATAAACATCAATTAATGAAATTGTTATTTTTTCAAGTTTTTACAAAAGGGGGTGGGGGGATGGAGACGCACATGCGGGATTTTGAACAAAGTATTTCTTCCTGCTATAACCCTGTGGGCTGCAATGTATTTTCTATCGGTAGTGGTATAAATTCAAAACCCCGCGCTTGCGCGGGATTTCATCTAGTATATATAATTTTAAAAAAGTAAATATCCAAAAATGAAATCACAAATCGATGTAAATGTCTGAAGACCCAGGAATGGCGAAAAATTTTACAGTGAATATGATCAATTTGTGATTTCATTTTGGATATATACTTTTTTAAATATGATCGATTTTCAAAATGATAAGATTTTGAATTAAATGATTAAATTTAAATGCAAAAGAAATTGTGATACACAATTTGAACATTTGTGCGAGCGTGCAGATTCGTTACTACATGTACCCAAGACACGTGCAATGAGGCACAGTTCTGTTTTTTTTTTTTTTTGTCGGTAAAATCGAAGTTGATTTTAATGATCGAAAATTTATTCAAGCAAATGTTGCAGTTTAAATTATTTTCTATAATATGAGGTGGACAACAAAGTATGAATTGAACTTCCTTGGATAAAATGTCCTGGCGATTCAGAAACGTGACCGTAGATTATTAAATGTTTTTAGGGCCCCTCTCTGCGGGCGACCTATAGTAATTAGTGTGTCCGTCCGTCCACCTGTTCGTCCGAGGTCTCTTTTAAAGGGTGTGTAGTGACCTTGAACTATGTTTCAAGGTCTAAGGTTAAGGTCATAGCAGAACTGTATCTGAAAAATGCATGTAAACATAAATAAGTTGCATGTCGACATAAATATGTTGCATGTCAACATATTTATCTCGCATGTAAACATAACCAAGTTGCATGTTGACATAAATAAGTTGCATGTTGACATAAATAAGTTGCATGTCGACATAAATAAGTTGCATATCAATATATTTATCTTGCATGTCAACATAACCAAATTGCATGTTGGCATAAATAACTTGAATATCAACATATTTATCTCGCATGTTAACATAAACAAAATGCATGTTCACATAAATAAGTAGCATCTAGCATGTTGGATGTCACATGTGGGCAATATTTGAGATTTTTGAAGATTTTTTATAATTTTTATTTGATTGCAATTTTCTTGAATGTCAACATAGTTACGTTGCATGTTGACATAACTATCTTGCATGTCAACATATTTATCTTGCATGTCGACATATTTGATAGAAAAATAACTTGCACACAAGGGGCAGAAATATGCCACCATATGAACCTTATAAAATACTAGTATAAACATAACGTACAGTTGATCCCAAAATAAATCCCAGTATATCAAACAGTGTTTCAAACTTGATAAAAACAACCGTTACATTTCGTACCAGAAATATGAATATTTACGTAGATAGTTAGAGCATATTGTAAATGTCTATTTGCCGACGTACTTTATTAAGAATTTCTGATCTTTATATTTTATCAGGTTTGCTACACTGGGATTCGTGTAGTGGGATCAACAGTACGTTATGTTTATGGTTGTCTGGAAGAAAGTGTAAGTACCTCATATTTTATTTCATTTAAATACTATTACCATATGGATGAAGAATTACGTGCGCTAATTAAAAAAAGGAAAAACAAAAAACAAAAAAAAAAAAACAAAAAAAACAAAACAAAACAAAACAAACAAAAGAAAAGAACAAACAAAAACCAAAAAACAAAACAACAACAAAAAAACAAAAAAAACAACAACAACAACAAAACAAACAAACAAACAAAACAGCAACAGCAAAGTTTATCTTCATCTTCCTCAAGATCATGCAGTACCCTTAAGATTAACTGATCCGTTGCTATAAGGGATAACTGGAATAAACTGACTAATATTTCCTTGAAAATATCAAGTTAAAAGGGATTATTATGAAATTTTGCACCGCAGAGTATCCTGAAATTCTTTGCATAATGATTTTAGTTATACTTTCTATTTATTTTCGGAAAATCATTATTATAAAAGCAAATTTTTATAAGAGAGTACATAGGGATAAAGAACCTTAATTTCACTCTTAATTCCTGGCCTCCTTACATACATATATCTACACTGTTTTACTTTTTTGTTAGATCTGTTATGCTTTCGCAGCTAATGACCATATAAAAGTTAGTGACCGGACTGATAGATATGTCCACGGTGACCAGGGCACTGCTATTTGTGATGCCTGCTGTAAAGGGGACAAATGTAACGCCGCAGACTGCTTCCTACTCAGAAAGAGTAAGTGTTGAATTTACACAGCATACATTTTAGACTAAATTATTATAATTTGGTTTTAATAAATTATTACTGAGACATATTCAAAAAAATCTTTTCAACCCGTTAATATATAAAGATTTCTAAGGCCTAAATTTTTTTTTGATCCATCGTGCCTTTACCAACTTGAAATAAACTTTGACTTCGAGTTTGCTCTGAATTTATGGGTTTAAGGATGATATACTAGTATCAGAAAGACATACGCACGTGTTTCATATACACGTTTGTTTTGTTTCTTGCATATATTTGAGGTTTTTTTTTTTTTTTTTTTTTTTTTTTTTTGACAGATATGACAATTTCTGACTTTATCGGAGGCAAAGCATCACCCACGATCCCAAGATATTCATTTGGTTAATCGGTACAACTGTGACTTTTACATGTATTAATTTATACTATATCATTTTATCTTGCCGCAACACAATGTGCCAATATGGTTCAATGTATCGATATGTTTCTTTCTTAACTTTTTTGTTTTTTAAATAATTAATGAATTTCAATTTGGAATTAAAAAAAAAAAGCATAATATGTTGAATTAAAAAAAGCATCAAATATATTTTAGGTTTACTCTGGATTATAGTTTGTGTCCAGTTGTCATTGGAAGACAGAAGATTGACACTTTCTCTAAAATTGTATTTGGTATTGATTGGCAAAATGCATGGTTACAACGCACTTTGTAAAATAACGCACTTTGAAAAAAAATTTCAAAGTGCGTAATTTTTTCGAAGTGCGTTGCCAAAGCATGCAATTTATGGAATAAAAATGGTGTTGTATTCAAGTTCATTGCAATCATAAATTTGATTATACACGTGCAAATATTTATAATTTTATTATTTTTTTTTAATTCTTGCATTTTATAAAAATAAATTTAAAAAAATGCTAAGTTCCAGTTCTGCATTAACTTACGTATATTCTATTTATATAACAATATTTATGTCGTTCAAGAAACTTAGGAGAAAGAAACATAAAATTATCAACTTACACTGAAATGTAATCAAAGTGATTAACTTTTTAAAGCTAAATTTGAAATTTCAGCAACACTTTGCAAGTACTAGTGGAAAATTCTTAAAAGTGCTTTTTTTAACACCTGAAATATACAAATTTTCAAATATTTTTTTTTTTTTTAAAAAGTGATATGATCTGTAATTTTGTATAATTCTAATGATTTAAATTTAAAATATGGAACTGTATCTTTAAATTACTTCCGCAAGATAATTCTTATTATTTTTGACACTATCAACATTTCGCGCATGACATGAGCATAATGGTTTCAGAAACCAAGAATTTCAGAAATAATCATTATCGAAAAACCTCAACTTAACTCATCGAGCCGCTGACTGCAAGTTACGTGTGAAATAAAATTCAATTTCGAATTCTCTTTATAAATTTTGTACATTTAAAAATGTTTTAATAATTCAAAAATCGGTAAGTTTTGAATTAATTAATGCGACTGAATGGTTTTGCGAACACATAATGTAATTTTGAGTAATTCTAAGTTTTTAATAAAGCCTTTTAGCAACCTCGGTCCCGTCAAGAGACCAGTGACATCTCTGCAATATCAAATACATTAGTCACCAGGAGCTTGCATCATGGTTGGAGCTAGCATGTGCATATCGTGATTTCTTTAGCACAAGTTTCCTTAAGACGTGCAGCTTATTGCAGCACGAGTTGTGTCATTAAAGCATGAAAACATCACTTTCTTCCTAACGAGACATTTGCTGTGGACAAATATTCTTTAACTGAACCAGGGATTGAGATACCGTGATACTGACGATTTTACCTGTCCATGGAGGAAGCTAAGAAACGATAAAATCAAGCATGTGTCAATAAAGCTGCCACAACAAAACTCCACACTGGTTTCATAACTTCAGGCTGTTTTTTGTCAAGAGGCATTTTATACCAAATGGTTCTTCATTCTAGACACTAGGTCCTGATTTATACACTACATAGATAAATAACACAAATTGAAATTGCAGATGCATTTATTATCAGTATCAAAATTGCACTTTTGTTTCTAAGCTTGACAAATGAATATACAATCTCACTGAGACACTTAATACTGATCGCACTCCCGACACAAATCCAAAACGGATACAAGGCATACACGATTTACAGAATTACTAGTAGTAATCTATGGAGTTGCTAGGCAACTGTCATTGACACAAAAATGAAAAACAAAATGTCAGATTTCCCCTCTTACAGATACAATTGATGCTAAGTTTGGATGTTTGGGATGAGTTTTCAATGTAAATGCTAAAATGAACACATTTTTTTTTATATTCTCTCCAAAACCCTAAAATAAGTAATTTCACATGAGACTTATTGTGCAATTTTTATCTGTGTTTTTTTTTAGTGTTAATCTATATCTTATCAATAAATTAAACAGATTGATAATTCAATTTTCTTAAATTCATAGGCTTTGAAAAAAACTGTCTGGGATACTTAATTCTGACATATTTTATTCTATTAACATGTAATAACTTTGGATTTCATTCGATTAACTTTTTTCAAATGAAAAATAAAATTCCACAAACAAAATAAATATTGTCACATTTAAAGACAATCTACATGTTTCTTGTAACATGATTTCTTTCTACACAATATTTACATTTTCTATACAGCCCACAGTATCACAGAATGGTAGTGATTCTTCAAAATAAAAAAAAGTAAAAATCATTCATCTGACATTTAAATCACCACATCTTTGTTTTTAAAATCATTGACTAGAATGAAATGTTTGACTTAAAAACCAGACATAAAAGTTTTCTTTCCATTGTTTCTCATGCTTAAAGGGACCTTTTTTTTTTTTTTAATTTAGTCTGGGATACTAAATCAAATGGCTAGTGGACACAAAACTAACGTACATTTAAGAAAACTGGCTGAAAAAAACAGCTCAGCCATTTAGGATTGACAGACAATTTCACCATTCATAAATGTCATGAAACTTTTTTTATGGTCACTTGAGGTACACATTCAATATGTTCTAATTGTCTTGAGACAGTTCCTCTGTAGATGAGGAAGAAAGATTGGAAAACCCAAAATCATGGTTTCCATCTATATATTTTGAAAAATTTGATTAGAAAAATAACCATCTTTCAGTATTAAAAATCATATCAGATTTAAAATAGATGAGAATAAACTTAGGTCAGATGAGTCCATATTAAGTCCCTGGCTCAGGTAAGCTACATACTGCTAAAGAATTCAGACTGTGCATTGTTCATTATAGGTATTTACAAAAGTAAGTATATATCTGTTGGAGATAGGAATAATTTAGCACTTGTTTGAGTATTATACTTCTTAAAATATTAAACACATTTTACATGAGAGACTTAAGGTAATTTGTCTTTGTTTCTGGAATGAAACGAAAAGAAAATCGAAAAAACACATTCGAAAGAAAGACAACGTGCAGTGAATTAGCTGCACATATCAGATCTAGACATAGCCTCTTCAATTTCCAAATTTCCTAATAGTCCATAATTACAATTGTGTAACTGTTACTCATAACATATTTATGTTGCCATGGTAACCCTAGCTCCTTTCCCATTGGTGTATTTCTCGATACCCTGAGAAATTTAAATATCTCCATGGTAACAGTTTCACCAGTTGGCCAGTCCTGGTTTGTTCAGAGTCATGAAATAAATCTGGCAGCTTGAGCCCGACCTCATTGATGAAAAAAAGACCTGGAAATTAAATGAATCAATGTAAATAAAACAGTTTTTAAAACAAGTCAAATTCTTTAAAAGACAAGCTAAATTTTTTTTCATGCCAATTAGTGGTTTGGCACAATCATCCAACAATTAAATATAATAAAAAAATAAGCAGGATCCAATGTAAAAAAAATTGTGGAGAGAATTTTCAAGTTCTGTTATGAATATTTTCTAAGTTAAGTAGATACAGACTCCCACACATGAAAAAGTATAGAACTAGTTGCTGGACAGTAAAAATCAAAGGCAATACTGCCACATGAGGACAACAAAAACAAATCTTTTTATTTTGAGTGTTTGCTAAATTGGCTGTCCAGATGTGTTATAGGTACATCTGTACTATACACTGTCAATCACTGAATCATTGCTCCTACAAAAGAACTCATGCTTCTGAGTTTTCACAAACATCTTTTAAAATGACTACAGAATACACTCACTTTATCATTTCTCTCACACAGGAACTTGAGTTTCTGAGCTTTCTTGTGCATAAACACTCCATCCAGGTGTCCAGTCTCGGCTGCTCGTATCTCGATGGCTTTGTTTCCCCACCCCATCAGCTGACCAGTGCTGATGTAGGCTAAAATAAAAACACAGATTAAAAAAAAAACCAATTCATGACTTTACAGTTTAAATTCTTAATTTTCCAAAAAAAAAGTGGCATTTCTAATACAGCGCCACCTACCAACAGATGTGGGCATTTCTCCCCATTGTACAATGACATTCTTAGTAACTCTGCCGCTGGAGTTCACATAAACTCCCTCATCTACAATAACAAGACAATGTAATCAATAGAACTGACAAGAATTAAGCTACATTTATTAGAAATTCATACAGGACACAAAATGAAATATCTTTCACCAAGAACACCAAAATTTAAGTGCCTTTTAGCAGTACACTGTAGTTCAGACTATTAGATTTTATCATTCTGTATGGTCATTCAACTTCATGCAATATATTTAATTTTCAATTCATGTTGTGCATCTCTCTCTCTCTCTCTGTATTTTTGTGTGTGTGTGAATGTAACTGACATGTATAGTCCATGTTTTAATTGTATCTTACCAAATAGAAAATATCACTGAAGATAAAACAACTTACTATCGTAACAGCAGAGGAGCTCCATTCCATTGGTGTCGGGTAAAATAACGATAGTGTGCGGCAGGATGGGGCCTTGAGTCTGCACAAAGAAAAAGAAACTGTTAATCGAATATTGAGATGAGGGGAGTAGGTTCAAATTATGAAACACTTTACTTTAGATTATGACTATATGTATCAGACTTTACAATAACATGAATGCTATCAATATAGTATTTATATCCATTGTCTGAGTTTCAATGCCATCAGCTTTCAGAATCAGAACATACTCTAAATTATAATTTTATCAAGGTCTGTTGAGATTTGTCAAATTCAACACAGCACAATTTGTGTTTGCATGATCTGAGAGGGAGGGTCTGCATTATGAGAACATGCCTGTACAATTTATGAGCATCAGTAATAAATCTGTCAGTCAAAAGAATAATGCGTCATTTACTGGAATTGGTAGGGGTACACCTGAAATTTTATTCCAGGCTTGTTTTAGCCTAGCATTTCTGGTAAATTTGCAGGTGTGTGTTCTGGATGATTCTGACATCAAAACATTGTCCAACAAAAACATTCAATTGTTTTCATTCTAATAAAAATAAAAATCTAACACAATGCAAAACAGAAAGAAAACATAATCACCTTCTAAGCACCAACATGCAAACATATATAAACCTGCATTAGTAAAATATAACAAAGTTATACATACTGATGTATTTATACTTCTTTAAGACCTAGTGTTGTCTTTATACAGTGAATAAGGTATATTTAGATAGTATTTTTGATATCTATTCTACATTTGAAGATCTGTCTAGCTTATGTATACTCTAACATGCAAAAAAACTTATAAATATTTTCATCTACCAGATTAAAACTTTTCTAGCCATCCCACAATAAATTTGATCTAACATTTAAGTTCTTGGTAAGTTCTTTATTGCTGTTATGTGTTGGGTATAGAACTAAACTGCAAAAACAAGCAATTCAAACAAATCCCAGAATTATGATCAGTAGCACTACTGCCGGTAAACAAGAGAACTAGTCAATTCAATCAAGTAAATCTGGCAGGCAAACTTAAAATACACTGTATTTACCTGGTGGGCGTAAAATGAGGAAATACCTGATTGGGGCGGGGACTGGGGGTGACTGCGAAACTAAAAAGTAACCAGTGGTACAAAATATAGGACTATTGTACTACAAAGTAACCAGTGGTACAAAATATAGGACTATTGTACTATAAAGTAACCAGTGGTACAAAATACAGGACTATTGTAACAGTACTGTAATCTGTTCTGTAAAGTACCCAGTTGTGCTAAGTATACAGGACAAGTATACTATAAATTGTACTAAAAGCAACTAATGGTACAAAATACAGGATTATTGAATCATAAAGTACTAAGAAGAACATTACAGGACTAATATACTTTAAGTACTACCAAGATCATTATAATTTACAAATATCTATCAGAGAACAAAAAAAATATAAAAGACAGGTTAGGTAAGAAAGGGAATATTAAAGAAAGCTATTGGAAAACATATAAATAGAAAATCTACACTCAATCTACTTTTGGAAAATTGATCTACTCAAATGAGACATATTCACATGACATACATGTACTACACTTACTCTGACACTTGTGTCACCAAACGTGTGTCACACACTGTACTTACATGTGTGGGAATGTACAGGTCATACTGGTGTCACACACTGTACTTACATGTGTGGGAATGTACAGGTCATACGCCAGCATTTCATCCACATCAATGCCATGGAAACCACTACGGGAACCATAAAGAACCTTTAACCTTTGACCTTCTTCTACTGTAAGGTCAACAATCAATGGTTTGTGGACTAGATCAGTGAAAGACTGAAAAAAAAAAATTCAATTAGAGAAATATCCAAGTGAAGGTCAAGGTCTTTATAATATGAGCAAGAGGTCACAGTATTTCCTAATTAGTAAGTATGAATATCTCAATACAGAAAACTACAAATCAATTAGCAAGCCACATTTTAATGATACAAAAAAGAATGCCCCAACAACAACTCCCCTCCCAAATAAAAATCTTATTTGATGACAGAGTTTCTATAAAGACAACCTACATGTACAGTACTTCAAACGTTCAGTAGAAGTAAAAGATTTTTCACTCTAAACACAATTTTCTCTTATGTTTTATTTTATTTAAAAGGCCATGAATTTGTGATAAGGTGATTTTTTAGTGAGGGCAGGAACTGCAACAGATCTCATGTCTTACCTTAAAAGCCATGAATTTGTGGTAAGGTTTGGGGGCCCAGGCATAGATCTCTATACTCTCCTGTAGGGCTATCACAAGGAACTTGATCTTCTCATACTTCACTGTACAAACAAAAATTGGCCATGTATTATATCTATCAATCAATCCATCCCTACCTACAAACAGTTCTCCAAATCAGAGATTAATTAAGGAAAATAAGAAATATATGGTTAGGTTGAATTTATATATTCCACAGCCTACTATTTTATCTTTATAACAAATATTTCAAAAAATTGAATGATAGAAAAGTTACATCCCTTTGCCACATTTTACAGGAAGCTTACCTATTTTGAAATGGACACATCCCTCCAGTTCTCCAACATTTACCCAGCCATTTCTTCTATCATTCTGTTCATAAAAGGAGATAAATTTCTCAGGATTAAGTGCTTAGATGTAAAAGAGTTAACAAACAGGAATGTATAATATAATGATTCAGTAAAATATTAACACTACCATTCAATGCTTATTTTTTCTGTAATTTAGTGAAGATCTTTACAGTACTATAGAACCTTATAATTTTCACACATCAATGTTCAATATACCCAGTGATATCCATACAGAATTTTACAAGTAAGGCTTCTCTTGAATTTTCTGAATGACTGGAGATTCCAAGTTTAATTACTAAATATTTATTCACTTTTGATTGTAAATTCATACCTTGCATAATGTAAGTTACTTTCTACAATATACAATAGATTAATTCTACAGTTACTGTACTTTAACCAAGGAATCAAAATTCCACAGAATCACAATTTCTGTTCAATTCGTGATTAGAAAAATTACATGAATTTCTTAGAATTCCACCATATGCCTTAAATTTGCTTTAAGTACGCTGGGTCAAATTTTCACAGAAAATTTATGACCACATACCGCAAATTAATACCATGTGGAAAAAGTACTTCTACAGTATTTTACATTATAATATGAGGAGTCTACTTACTGCTTCCTTTTTGAAGATTTTATTGTTCAGCCATGACAGGTAGTAGACTCGTATTTTATTTTTCTTGCCGGAGATCGTGACCAGAATGTTCTGTCCCTCCAACACTTCCATCTGCTGGAACCTCCGACGTGAGATCAATGTATAAACTAAAATAGGAATAGTGAATAAAGTAACCGACAAAACCTTATTAAGAGTAAAGGTGAAAAGTAAACCAGGGATAATGATAATAAAATGTAGCTTATTTGTGTAAATTAAACTGGAATGGGTAGTAAAATACTGTGGATTGGCAAATAATCATGATGGTTTCAATTTCACTATGTTCACGATTCATCATTTTTCCGCAAAATTAAACCCATAGGGTATGCTATCATTAGATTTTAAAAACGTTTAAATGCTTTTACAAAATTTATATTAATTTCTTGCAGTGTGAAATTAAATTCGTGATTTGTACTTGTTGAGGAACCGTGAAATTTTTACACCGTGGAATTAAATTGAAACTTATCTTTTTTAATGTAACCTTGATCTATGACCTACCTTTTCCCTGACCACTTCTGTCCAATAGCATTAAACCATTTTCTGTGCCAATGAGTAAGTTCACCCCTAAAAAATTCAGTTTGCACTCAGATTTAGAATGAAATACTTTTGTATCATTATATAATAACCTGCAATTAATTAATATAAGGAACTGTGTTAGATTCATTTCAAATTTTTTTTACAATGCCAGTCCTGTACAGATAAAGAGAGCAAACTTAATTCCAAAGAGCTTTTACAATTTTTTAAAATTTAAAATGCAAATTTACCGAGTTCCTGATTTTCAACTCACACAACACCTAAAGAAGCAGTTAATTATTAAACATGTACCCCATAATGCAGCACACAAGATGTCTGAGGAGAATTTTTTCTTGTATTTTCGGATTTCTGGAGTGTCACTCAGAGCTTCAGTCATGGGTTGTGATGGCGCCACATTGACATTAATCTGTGAGCCACGGCGAGATGACTGGGAGGTTAAGGTTGAACCCTCAGAAGCACCGAATCCAAAGGCCGAGAAAGACATAGGCTGGTGTCTTAATCCCCCACCCTCAGAAGTATTACTGACCGCCTGACGATACTGAAATATAAAGGAGAAAGACTTAGACTGGTGTCTCAATACGCCCCACCCTGATCACTTGTTGACACTGAAACATAAATTAACATTGGTCCTCAAGCATCATTTGATGACTTACATGCACTTTTTTCTGTAATAGAAGTGTGCCCCCCCCCCCCCCACCCCCTTAGTTCACTATAAGAGTAAACTTTTAATGCAGAAACAAGTGCTTGTGCTCACAAGGTAGAATAATTTCTTTTAATTTGAACTTTCTGAGTTCGAATCCCAATTAGTCAGGTGAGTTTTGGAACAGGTATAAAAGATTTAATTAGAAAAGAATGACGACCTTTCAAAAGTTATTACTTGCCACAACGAAAAACCCAGAGAACTTTTAAAGTTTCTAAACATTTACAAGAGAATGTTCCTGAATCTTAAATAACATTAACAGCTAACCCCAGCTGTGCACAGACATGGTATTATACTACGGTTCCTGAACACTTTGTTGTATAGTTTATTGCACACTATGTACAGTTAAACTTCGTTATCTCGAAGTTGACGGGACCGTTGATGAACTTCGAGATATCCGGGGGTTCGACATATCGAGGGTTATAGTTCAAATGAACTTCAAATAAACTTAGTGCAGTGAACATGTCCTCAATAGTAAAAACAAGTCAAATTCTTCTTGTTTGAAATTTTGTACATGATTTCTTTAATATACATATACATGTATTTAGCAATCAAAAATTTTACATCCTCTTTATAATTCACAAAACAAGAGGCCCATGGGCCACATCGCTCACCTGAGTAACTTTGGCCATGCTGTTCATTACCAGACTTCCCCCCTTGTAATACTTATTGTGGCCCCGCCCTACCCCCAGGGGCCATGATTTGAACAATTTAGAATCTACACTACCCCAGGATGCTTCCACATAAGTTTCAGTTTTTCTGGTCCAGTGGTTCTTGAGAAGATTTTTAAAGATTTTTCCTATATATTTCAATGTAAAACTTGGGATTCCCTATTGTGCCCCCCCCCCCATCCCCGGGGTCATGATTTGAACAATTTAGAGTGTACACTACTTGAGGATGCTTCCACATAAGTTTCAGCTTTTCTGGCTAAGTGGTTCTTGAAAAGAAGATTTTTAAAGATTTTTCCTTTATATTTCAATGTAAAACTTGTATTCCCTATTGTGGCCCCGCCCTACCCCCAGGGGCCATGATTTGAACAATTTAGAATCTACACTACCCCAGGATGCTTCCACATAAGTTTCAGTTTTTCTGGTCCAGTGGTTCTTGAGAAGATTTTTAAAGATTTTTCCTATATATTTCAATGTAAAACTTGGGATTCCCTATTGTGCCCCCCTCCCCCCTATCCCCGGGGTCATGATTTGAACAATTTAGAGTGTACACTACTTGAGGATGCTTCCACATAAGTTTCAGCTTTTCTGGCTCAGTGGTTCTTGAGAAGAAGATTTTTAAAGATTTTTCCTATATATTTCAATGTAAAACTTGGATTCCCTATTGTGGCCCCGCCCTACCCCCGGGGGTCATGATTTTAACAATTTAGAATCTACACTACCCCAGGATGCTTCCACATAAGTTTCAGCTTTTTTGGCTCAGTGGTTCTTGAGAAGAAGATTTTTAAAGATTTTTCCTATATATTTCAATGTAAAACTTGTATTCCCTACTGCGGCCCCGCCCTACCCCCGGGGGTCATGATTTTAACAATTTAGAATCTACACTACCCAAGGATACTTCCACATAAGTTTCAGCTTTTCTGGCCCAGTGGTTCTTGAGAAGAAGATTTTTAAAGATTTTTCCTATATATTTCAATGTAAAACTTGTATTCCCTACTGTGGCCCCGCCCTACCCCCGGGGGTCATGATTTTAACAATTTAGAATCTACATTACCCCAGGATGCTTCCACATAAGTTTCAGCTTTTCTGGCTAAGTGGTTCTTGAGAAGAAGATTTTTAAAGATTTTTCCTATATATTTCAATGTAAAACTTGGATTTCCTATTGTGGCCCCGCCCTATCCCCGGGGGTCATGATTTTAACAATTTAGAATCTACACTACCCCAGGATGCTTCCATATAAGTTTCGGCTTTACTGGCCCTGTGGTTCTTGAGAAGAAGATTTTTTAATGACCCCACCCTATTTTTGTCTTCTCTTGATTATCTCCCCTTGTGAGGGGACTTGGCCCTTCAATTTAACAATTTAAATTCCCCTTCACCCAAGGATGCTTTGTACCAAGTTTGGTCAAAATTGGCCCAGTGGTTCTTGAGAAGAAGTCAAAAATGTGAAAAGTTTACAGACGGACGGACAGACAGACAGACGGACGGACGGACGAAGGACAAAATGTGATCAGAAAAGCTCACTTGAGCCTTTGGCTCAGGTGAGCTAATAAAAGCCTTGTATAATATGCACAGAAGTATAATCTTTCTACCAACGCGGCAAGTCAACCGCTAGCATCGTTTCCCATGTACACATAACCGGATATCGTCTATGCATTGTAAATTTAAAACGGTCGCTGTCGAAAACAAAATATTCATTTTCTTTTATTGGAAAAACAATAAGTTCATACATGTAAAATCAGTTAAAAGAAAATTATTTTACTATAATAAAATCAAATGCAAAAGAAGAATCACGCACTTTTGTCTAACAACAGAACAACACTGAATCACAGGGCACTACAGCACAAGTTTTCACTGCGACACACGCTCACATGATAGTGTGTTCGGACGATTATAAATTCTGCACGCTCATAAAGGGAAAATAAATTCTAATTGCTTTAAATTACAGAATTTTGTTTTACTTCGATGTTTATTATTTTCACTTTCATATGCATAAACTATGTATGCGCGCATATTTCAGTCACTTAGCATTAAATATTGCGATTATCAAAATAAACGTACCCAAGCCACAAAACAATTATCGTGTCATCCACGCGTATGCATTAGACTAATACACACAACCTTTGGCTTGCATAATTACAATCAAGGTAAGCCATACATACACTTCGCATAATTATCGCGCTATTATCTGTTGATCACAGGAACACAGGTAACCCGAGCGTGACAGACAGGTGGGTGTTATCAATAGAGCATTCAGTTTACCTAACGGACTTGATCATCAGAGCGGAAAATTATCCTGACTTCGAGATAACGCATGTGATTTTAATGAATGGGTACACAATTTTACTTCGAGATAACCGGGGTATCCGACATTACTGTGTTCGACATAGAGGGGTTTATTTTAATCATTTATAAAGCAAATTTCGTCGGGACCGCGGCCTTACTTCGACATATCCGGGGTATTCGAGATATCCGTGTTCGAGATTTCGAAGTTTAGCTGTATATTTAATCACCGCATATCTCAGAATTCATCTCTCCATGTAGATGTTTTAATCTTATTATTAACCTAATGGTAATAATATAATAATATATTAGCATACACACACAAACAAGTAAGAGTCTTTATTAATTTATTAGTGACTGATATAATGCACCTTGATGCTTAAAAAAAATACATTATTCCCTGTAAGGCCTCTGAAAGCAGATCCTCTCCTCACAACTGGGTATATCAGTATATAGAACAGTTATTTTTACACCCACTCTAGCTCTCTCAAATGTACCATCATGTAACAATAACAGATTTTGTTGATTTTGCTGTACAGGAAAAAAAAAGTATATAGTGCCCGACCAAAAACCGTTATTGGTGAGTGGATGACTTCCTTTACAACAGCGAAGACTTTTATCTCTCCTTGGGCACTAAATCACACACTTGTTTTCATAAGTGCTGAAGCTTTTCATGGCTGCAATCACAGTACAACTAAACAGCTCTCCAGCCATCAAACCATGCTAGTCATTATAAATACATAATAGCTTTCCAACTGATGCTAACATGCACATTTATTGTTTTTCCTTGTTTTTAAGTATCTTTTAAAAAATCACCAAAAAGCAACAGAAACCCCTCTGTATAAAAACTTGTGTTTACATAAAAATACAGAACTTATATTAAAAGTAAAATGTTTTCTTGATGTACAATGCTAATTAATCTCTTTGAGACATTAAGTCTACAAAGCAAGAAATAATATTATTATGGAATATGCATGTCCAGGAAAGAGGAACTCACCTCATCTGATGTGGTCTTGTCCTGGGGCCTCTGGGGGGTGAGGCCTGAACGTGACTGGGGTGGGGTGTGTGGGGGAAGGAGATCTGGAAGTACTCCGCTACTTGCACTGTGTCGTGGTTGTGGAAGCACTGAAATATAAAAAATTATCAATTAAAGGACTCTGAACAGAGACCATTCACTAAATAAATGCCTGGGCTAAAAATGACATAAAATCTCCATATATTTGAAGTTAGATATTTTTTAACTGTTGAATAAAAAAGTAAAATATTTTTTATGGTTTGAACAATAACACTCCAAAAATGTTGAGTCTTCATTTTCATATTATGTAAGACTCGTAGACAACACTAAATACCTTATGAGTGAGAGAGATTTACCATTGATTGATTAGGGATTGAATGGATTTGTCACTTTTTGACCAATTTAAGTCCCCAAGAAAGATACCACATTGTAACTATGATTTATTTATCAAAGTGACTTTCCACTGTGTGACTAGTATGAGTTACACAAACTGACTTAGTGTGAAGTAACCTTGCATCAGACTTACCAGTGAGTTAGACTTACTATTGACATATTCTGAGTTAAGTCAGTATGAGATGGACTTACCACTTGGATGAAAAGTTTCCAACTGGGTTAGAGTTAGACTTACTATTAACTCAGTAAGAATTAGACTTGCCACTTGGATGACCTAAATTTCTCATTGGGTAAGGGTTGGGCTGACTTAATACTGACTCAGTATAAGTTAGACTTACCACTTCAATGACCTATATTTTCCACTGGATTGGAGTTACAGTTACCACTGACTTAATACTGACTCAGTATGAGTTAGACTTATCACTTGGATGACCTAAATTTCCCAACTGGTTAGAGTCAGACTTACAACTGACTTAATACTGACTCAGTATGAGTTAGACTTACCACAATGACCTACACTTCCCAATGGGTAAGAATCAGCCTTACCATTGACTTAATACTGACTCAGTATGAGTCAGACTTACCACTGACTTAATACCGACTCAGTATGAGTTAGACTTACCACTTGAATGACCTAGGTTTCCCACTGGGTTGGAGTTTGCCTTTCCAAGCTTGGGCCTCTGTGCTTTATCTCCAAGAACATTCTCTGATTTATTCTATAAAACAAGAATACACAAGACTTAATATTTTTCAGAGTATAATCAATAAAAATAACCAGGAAATCAACAGCACTTTATCATAGACATTTCATATATTTTTTTTTTACTGAAGCCTCTTGTTAACTAAGGTAATGAGCAGAAAACCATAATGAGGCTAATTCAATTCATTACACTCTTATGTAAAGTGATACATATTTCTGGTATTTGTTCTATAATGACACCTGTACATCTAAGAGATGTTTTCTGACAATCAATCATTCCAAATTCAAGCTTAGCAAGTTTAAAAGGAACCTAACAGGTCCTCATAATGAACCTTCAACTTCCCTTTATTTGAAAACACACAGTGGTAGTGGTAGAGTCATTCTTTATTTCACCTTAATTGTTAATTAGTGGTCCACAGATGTCCATGATCTGTGAATTTAATTTTGCTTCCAAAAATACCAATAATACCAACTATGACAACATGTGGATGGATTCAAATTTCACCAAATCTGGCTAAATTACAACCCAATATTTTAAAACTAATAAATTATTGAAAATAAAGCTAATTAATTGGAGATTCATTGACCTTTTCTTGTAAAAACACTGATATTCATAATAAAAATGTAACTGGAGTATATTTTAAAAAATATATTATTTTGAAATACACATCTCCAGTAAGCACATCAGTTTCACAGCCAGGCATTATTTACATAAATCCCTCACTGATTACCACATATAATAGTCAGATCTTTTTTCCCCATGATTTAGTGTGGACACCTTGTTGATTTTTCCCCAGAAATTATTGATTCTTGGTTAACAATGTGACAGAGAACCCCCGATAAGGCTTCCATTACACAGATAAGCCTAATTTGATCTCAACTCCACCAGTGTTCTTTGCTATAATCAGCACACCACGGCAATGAACATGCTTTATCAGGTATTCTACTGATGCAGGGTGTTGATTAACAGCAGTATTACTATCAATATTTATGATTTTATGGAGGACTTATCTCTGTATCTAATTGGCAATGCTTTAAGATCTATCATGTCTATGCTGTAGAGGCATCCATCAATAAATCTATAATTCATATTTCTGTAATCATAATGGGGGTTCTCACAGAGAGGACAGGGAGAGCAAGGAGGGAAAGAGATTAGAGGGGAGAAAAAGGACAGAAAATGGAGAGAGAGGAGAGAGAGAGAAAGACACCATGGGGATTTCTCACTTCATTGTAAATCCACTAACAACACAGTAGGGTCACAGACTCCTATTTAAAAGTAATCACAAGAATCTGGACTAAATGAAAATCACCTTTCACTAATTATCTCTTCATTATCCCCCCTGTTTTCACTCAAGCTTAGTTGACTTCACACGACTGCCCGTTCCTTTAGATGGGGCCACTTCAAAGTTCAGCTCCCCAATTTAAAGAACCTAACTTGAAGGTTAAATCAGAGACACAACTGTTCTATTTACTTTAACTTAATTCAATCCTCTAGACATTCATCAAGAGTAACTGGTTCAAAATGGCAGACAATGTTTAATTGCAATTGGAAACACAAGAAGCCAATTCTGAAACAGAAATTTTACATGAGCTTTAATAAGACGCCTGTTTGAAAAGGAGAAATTTCTGTTTTCATCTCCAGATCAAAGGGGTCCTGGTAAAAATTTAAAACTCAAAAATATCTTAGTATGAAAAATTTCACTTCACTTCCAGAGACTGTTTTCTTAAGCATCGGTCTCCAGATATCTGTAAGCATAAGAAAATGATGTTATGATGTTCTTTTCATACATGTACCCTCCCTCCCTTCCAAGAAAATGTGGGTGACAAGGCAAACCCCCCTCCCCCAGGGAATCCCCCCTCCCCCACCTTACACATATGATCAATATTTGTGCTGTACAATAGGAAAGATTTTCTGTATCATGTCATCATATATGGATTTCCTGTATTCAAATACCCTGCCATATTTCAATTCCATGCACTCCAGTATAAAAAAATTAATTACTATCAAAGAGTAATGTTGCATAAAATTCTGCCTGTCAGCCATCAACAATTGATGGGACGAGTGAATGTGTCAACATCTCTGTATCGATATGTCAGCCAGGGCTTTATAGCAGAATAATAGTTCCTCCTGGAAATCAATACTCCAAACTGTAATCATTGTATCCGGTCTTCACTTATCAGTTTCCCTTCCTACATATAATGTTCTAATGTTTTTTAGGAGTGGGTGTATTATGATTTGAGCCACAGAAGTTACCCATTATATGACAAAATTGTTTAAAAAAAGAAGAAGAAAAATTTAAAAAAAAATATATAAATGTAATGATGTGGTCTCTAAATTAAAAATCTTTGCGAGGGTGACTTCTTTTTTTTTTTTTAGGCTTGATGCCTGGTTCACAGATTTGATAATCATAGATCTATATGTACATCAATCTCCATCACCAATTTTCCTTTACCTTCAACTGTGTCAATGAAAAGAACAAAATTATTACCACACTGGAATTTACAACAGATTGTTATTGGCTGCCCCCCCCCCCCCCCCAAAAAAAAAAATCTTAACCAATTTAACAGTATTTAATGCCTGGATTTTTTTTATTGGCCAAGGAGAGGTTTGGGTGCAACTCTTTTTTAAGGGACAGAGTTTGAAACCTTGAAACAAAAGTAATAATTCAGAGAGCTTAAACTTTTAGTTCTGTCAGTAGACCCCTTCACAACCTCTCAACAGTTTGTTAGCTGTCTAATCTACTTGACTGGGACTTTCCCTTCACTGATGCCAAGCTGTAGGACCCTCATTAAACTCCAGTAAATGTTCCCCCCTTAATGACCACTCACCACTGGAATGTCCAGAATGACTCCTTCACCAAGTGGGTAGTTTATAAATCGCCCCCTGACCACAGTATTCAGAGGTTAATGAGATGCCAATGCTAATTATATGTAAGAGAAACAAATTCTGCTCATGCTACTTTGTAAATCATTGACTTGGGCCACAGAAAATTTAGGAAAAAGTTCTGTATTTGAATATTTCAATGTGCTTGAAGCTTTCAATAAATCTAAAACATTCCTTCTTTTAAACCATGAAGGTAGTTTTATTTTTAAAATAAGAAGCTACAAACTTTTATGTAATATGTGTCGAGAGGACAAAACAGGTCTTCCTCTATAAGTGCACATTGATATTTAAGTAATATTGGTAACAGTTCATAACATCGATGACAAATCTTAATGCCGGCCACCTGTTCAGGTAATACCCAGGTAACTACAGAGAAGCATGCAAAGGAAATGTGCATATCGCAGCTGACAGACATAGCCACGATTATTGTATTACCAACAGTCAATATAATAGCCATTATAGAGGACAAATACAGAGTATGGTCTATTGATGTCTCCAAATCAATCTCCTATTTATCATACTTTAGCATGCCTTACTGTGGAGGAAAAAAAAAACCAAAACACAAATGGCATCTGTCATTATTGACACAGAACAAAATGTTACCTGGGAATTTATAACAATCAAAATTAAAGTACCCCAGCATCCTGGCCGATTATTGATAAAAACAGGTCAATATCAAATGCTGACATTTCTCATGCTCTCTTCTATTCTGTATTGTGTCTCATGCTCTCCCCAAGTTCTTTTTTCAGAGATTTTTTTTTATTTCATTGTTTGCTCTTTTGATTATGAATGCCTTAGAAGTTTTTTTGGGAATCAAGAGGTGTTCCCTGTTACAAGGCAGTGTGTGGATAATGAAGTCCATCTGTGACTAACAGGGGGTAAAAAAATGGCAAACAGACAAGCTGGGGAGGGGACATCTCTGGGTTAAATAGTGGCACCTGGTCCCTGGTTGGGGAGGGGTATATTAAGAATAATTTCTAAGAGATATGGTACTGCTATCTGAAATGAAGGGGGTTATCAATAAAGGAAAAAAAAACCCTGTTGTATGACAATTGACTCATATTGGAGCCATTAAATGCCACTCATGTTTTTTTAAGAAGCATCACTCAAACTGATTTTTCATCCATTTTTCCCTCTTAAGAAAACAGTAGTCTGAATGCAAAAGGATCAATCCTAATGAACTTAAACATACCCTTCATCCCAATTTAATTTCAATGCAGTGTAGGTATACTTTAGTCTTTGATTCATTAAGGGATTTCTTTTTTTTATTACTGATATGTGGTCCCCGTGTTCATTATGCCAGACCAGTCTAGTATACATGATGCACTGTTTTATGACCTCGTATAGACTACTGTAACAGTACTGCACCCCGCACACTTCCTACCCTTATTGCGGAGAGCTGCACCTTCCCATTACCGTGATTTATACATAACATTTAACACCAAACTGCTATAGAATTAGCATCCGAAAATCCCAATAACTAGCAATTTAAAGTAGATAATCATATGGCTGTTATACCTGCGGAGAAACTCTGTTTGTTTAAGATCTTTATGAGAAATATAAATCTTTTAAAATGATTTCCTCTGCCATCATAAGTGTCTGGTACCATTTTTAAATTCTCCAGACACAAATTTTATGTCTGTTTGTGCATAGCTGTGTTTACAATAATTGCTACTCTACTGAGCATACTATAAATAAAATCTTCTTTCTTTTTTAAAACACTTACATTATGGTGGCGTCCTGACAAATTCAATGTGACAAATCCGTAATACCCAACCCTACACATATTTATAAATGAAATCTGCACGGAAGTTACAATATATAAACTTTTGAAATGCAAGACACTTCATAATGTCTGTGTCAAATGAAAATTTGTGTAATGCATGACACTTCCATATTTCTGTCAAATAGAAAACCTTTATTCACATTAATCTGTTTATCAACAATATTTTATTAACTTTAATTTGCACTCAAGTCAAAAATATGAAAATTACTGACAACATAAACAACCTCTAAAAAATTAATAAGAAATCTCACGCAAGAAAGAAACAAAGGTTTCTATGGCTTTTCTACCAGAATATTAGGAAGTATCCAGATGGATCATTGAATGTGGTCAGTTTAGGCAGCTGTGT